CTTGCCTTTGAGTATTCGGCAAAGCCTTTTCTGGGGTGGTTGTTTTCATTGGCTTTTTTCTCTCGCCGCTGCTGCCTCGAGGAGTTGTGAAAGGAGATGGTCCGATGGAGTAATGCCAGGGCTATATAATGGACGTGGTATCATGGTCCGGCCAATTCCGTCGAGAATTTGCGAGTTATCCTTGCAATGTGAGATGGGGTGTTCATTAGGACAAAAGGGATTTTGAGACTTTCAGGACGGTCTCCTCGCACTGTTGCAGTCAACCCCGAGACCTGTAACACGATGGCATTCGCAATACATGTCTGCATATAGCAATGCGGTTATGAAAACGGGAAACCCACTTAATCAAACAAATCGACAACAACATCCTTCGAACATAGATTTTAGGCTTTAGTTTAGCCTGTGAGTCCTGTCTGCGAGGTCACTATCACGTGTTGTGGTCGCGTCATTTTCATGGTGATCGACTAGTGAAAGTACCGTCGAAGCAGCAGCAAGAAAAAACTTCCGCAAATGGTCAGACGTGCTTCTCGGTCATGGTCGGCCGATTCATGCGGTTTCCATCGAGGCTCAATTCTGCTGCAGCCGTTTTCATTCAGATGGCCAGCGATGGTGCATCGGGTTTGTCTAGGTTCTGCAACAAACTCCTGGTAGTAGCGTAGTGCACTCCAAAATCATGGCTTTAGGGGTCCTCATAGAAAGTGAGTGGAGGCCCGAGTGAGGCTGATTTTCACAGCTCGTATTGTCTTTGCCATTGCGACCGAACCACTAGCTCAGTGACCGATCAGTAGCAGAGACTGAGCCAAACACAGCGCTGATCTTCTCTAGTGTCCTCCTTGCAACAGCGTCTATTTGAGGATCGTAAAGCATAATCGTTCGTTATTGTCATTGATCTATTTCGACTTCTAGATTTCAAATACCAACGTGGGTTTGACCTCCAAAACCTCCTGACTAACGGCCCAGATATCCTTTGACATACCAATACGTTTCGCAATGACACTATCATGGCTTGAAGAAATTTGAATTTAATCAAAATTCGGAAAGGAATTACGGGACAACCCAATAGTTGGTCTGTTACTTGATGGGAAACAAGCCGCTTCGCGATCGTTCGCAGCTATGTTTCTGAACTGCACAATTAGCATGTCATTCAAAAAAAGAGCGATGGAAGAACAATTTTTTTGATATTTTTCCAATTTGAGAGCGTCGCTTCAAATCTACGCAACTTGCGCTCTTCCGAACCGTATTAACACTGTTAAGTAATACGATGGCAATCTTGAGCGCATGATTATTAAATAAATAATTAAATTCGAGCACGCTGTACCCCTTGGTAACCCCTATGTTTAGTGGTAGTGGCAGTATGAGCAGAACAGAACAGATACGATAGTCCAGATCGATTAAAGGGCGTGCGCCTCCTTAGCAGTATGGTCATTCCAGATCACTACAACATTATTGTTAAACTATATCAAGCCATAATTACACAGCACCAGGTTCTATTAAAAATCGACTATCCAAAAGGAATTCCAGGCCAAAAATGACTAATTCTTTTTCAGGAGTCGGTCTGATGCCGAAGGAAGTTGTCTCTCCTCAGGTAGTCGCCAACTGGTTCGCCAACAAGCGAAAAGAGCTGCGGCGACGTTCTCAAGAAGCTAACGAACAAACGACTGCTGTAGCCGGTCCGGCCACCGGCAGCCAACCGCACACTCCTGGCCAGGCAGGCACCGAAGAAGCCACGGTATGTAAAGATAGTCAAGAGTTGACCAACAATTGAGAGTTGAAGCCAGCGATTATTTCTCGAAAAGATAGCCCGTAGCGACCGTGACTACTCCTTCTTTAAGTGGAACGGGGTCAGATAAGGCGAAAATACATATATAAGACCAACGCGCCCCTGCGAAGTGATGCCAGCCATTTCCTGGAAGATTCGTTGCTATGAGATATATTCGTGCGCTAGATAGCCAAGAGAAAACAAAGAAAAGGCATAGTGAGACCTCGACCAACGAAAAGTCCATGAGTGGAGCCAGTACAGTTCATCTTTCCGCGGTTATTTTAGATTGCATTTTCTGAAGTGTGT